CACAAGAAGTCAAAACAAGAGCACCTGACACATTACGAGACTCTTTTCTTTCCCATCATATGAACCTTCTGTTTCCACTTTGCCCCCCGTTCCAAAGCAACAACAAGTAGCACACCAAAACTTGGGAGCCAACTTGAGATCTCCAGTGTGTTTATCGCTTCAAATGGAGCACGGAGAGGCCACCACGAATAGTCGCCACACCCACCACAGGGCCACATTTGGAAATACAAGGCTTGACCAACAGCCTGATGACCCCAGAGTGACATCCGGACAGACGGCTTGAATGACGTGGGATCCAAAAACTTTTGACGTATGCACACCACTGCCTCTTAACTTCCTTTCGAAACGATGACAACGTCTTCTTCAGGGCCTGGTAAGCGGGCCACCGGCTTCACATGCTCACCCAATGCGTACGCGCTCTGCCATTGACGCCCCCCCCNCCGTTTGGCGTTACAGCGCCACTTTCAGCACGTTGATGAGATTCGGCCCACACAATTCCCCCCACATGTGCCTCAAGAACGTGTCATTTAACGCCCGACATTTCCGAGTGTCCATTGCCCTCCTCTCTGCGATCCCATGTGCAGCTAAAACAAATGCATGCGAAGTTTTGGCTAGAGTGACTTCTAGTGAGCAACGAAACGCGAGATTAGAGAGTGAGCGGTGTCAATCCTCAGGCGGCCTGAGAGTGGTGCCGTAAAGTAGTGCAAGAAGAGATATACAATTCCCGTTACTTCGCGTGCTTCATCGGGCTCACACTTCCATCGGCTTGGGGCGAAGGGAAGTGACGTCAGAGTGAGAACTGCCAAGCCGTCCTGTCACCGTGTCACCCGATGCGNCGGCTTGGGGCGAAGGGAAGTGACGTCAGAGTGAGAACTGCCAAGCCGTCCTGTCACCGTGTCACCCGATGCGTCCTCAGGCCCCGCCCCCGCCCCCGCGTGCGCGTTATTGCCTCAACGACCCAACCTCGCCACCTCCGAACCCGACCCCTGCGGTTGGAGAGAACGAGAGAGAGGGAGAGATAGAGTGCTGGGTCCCCGTGGTTTAAAAAGATGGGTGACAGGCGGCTGCAGTCGTCACCCCCAAACCCCACCAAACGTAAAAAACAACAACAACCGAAAGCCGATTGTATCCGTCAGCGGTGTCCGTGCGGGCGACACGCCGGTCCGCGGGTCAACAAACATGCAACGGCCACGAATAATTCTGCACAACTCGCCGACACACCTTCGTTGCGTTATCACAATACAAAGAAAAACAAATCAAATAAAATGGAACGACAAGGAAGTACCACAAGGGATACGTCTCTCTCGATCCCCCCTGTGAGTGTGCTCATCCGCTTGCGTGGAGCCGTGCACTCACTCGATCCCCTGCCCTCACCACGCACGAGAGGACAAAGCTGTTGAGGCGGCGCCCCAGGTCCCCGACGTCGCCCCAGGGTGAGCGCAGCGACGCGCTCTGCTGTGAGACGAGCGGCCCGCCAAACCACCGGTGCTCCGCCGCCGCGATGCGTGTGCTGCGGTGTGCTCGCTCCAGCTGCAGACTCACGACGGATGGGAACAGCAGGTGACACGCCGCGTTGGTAAAAGGGAGACGCAGCGTCACTTCCGTCTCCAGTCGCCCGTGGAGGAACACCACGCCGTCCTGCTGCTCACGGCGTATCTCGATGCAGTACGGCGTTGTGTGCACAACGGCGAGCTTCGCCAGCATCCGCACGGCGTCGCACCACTCACCGAGGCCGCACAAGAAATACAGCGTGTCCTGCAGCACGAACTGCGGGGAGAACAGCGCGGCGGATGGGGACGTGAGGCTCATCGCGTCAAGCCACACCTGCAGACAGGCGCGCTCATCGGCGGTGAGGCTGCGCTGCCAAAGCGCCCATCTATGCGTCCTTGTTGTCATGACAGGCTCCGCGTACGACCAGTGCTGGACGAAGAAGCTGTCGGTGCCGCAGCGAGCGTAGGCGACGCACACGGCAGCAAAAAGGAAAGGGGTCCCAGCCGCAAGTCGCAGCGCCCTCCGCCACGCATGCCGCATGACAGTCCTCCGCTTTCTTTTCGCTCCTGGCACTGGCGTGTCAGCTGCACACAACACGAGGAGAGAAACACAAGAAAAAACAACAACAACAAAAGAGAAGGAGACACAGCGAGAACACAATTTGGCTGAACATGACGAAAACAGATTTATGGCGAATGGCAATTGCTGTCGGTATGTGACAGCCGTATATTTGGTGTGCCCGCGCGTGCGTGCGTGCGTGTCACTGTTCCTTACTCATAATGTTAGCCGCGGTGTAATTGTCTTAGCTCACGCAAAAGAAACAAACAAACAACAAAAACGTAAAACGAAACGGAATTGGCAGCTGGATGTTGCGTCTCTCCCTGATGGCACGCCCACGCAAGAAGCCTGCGCGCGTATATATGTGTGTCCCTCTCTCTCTCTCTCTGTGTGTGTGTGTATGTTTGTGCGTCTATGCAAAGGCGAGAAAATCACCTCCTCCATCCATGCAACAGACACACACGCATGTTTATATATATATATATATATATATAAGCAGAGAAAGAGAGAGAGAGATGGGAGGAAAGCCTACTTCCTTCTGGATGCACGTGCCTTCTTCTTCTCATTCACGTTGTACTTGTGGTACGAGGAGAAGACGCGTGGTTGATTCGGATCGCGCTTGTGCTGCTTCGGCGCCTCCCCGAACGCCGCCAGGTCGTCGTCGTCGCCCCTGCCGCCGTGCACCACGTGCTTCGCCTTCAGCTTCGCAGATGTTGTACCACGGATGACGTGTGCCAGCTGGTCCTCGCGCAGCACGAGGGAGCGGTTGGTACCGCGCTTCCCCCCGCGTGGCTTCGGCAGGTTGTACACCGTTCCGCGCGTGCTGATCGCCTTGCGGAAGTTGATGAACAGCTGCCGCTCGCCGTCGCGCGTCACGACGTACTGCACACGCCGCAGCGTGTCGCCGCTGCCACAAGCCCCGCAGAACTGCCGCGTCGTGTCGGTGGTGACGGCGAAGCAGGAGGTGCAGCGGAGGAGCCAGTGGCGTAGCTCGCGGATGCGCATGCCCTGCGGCCCTACAATGGGGACGCCTAAGTGCAGCAGTGTGTTCTGCATCGCGTAGTCGGACGTGACACACGCGACGCCGCCGTCGAAGCGCTCGCCCGCCACCTTCGCGCCGTCCGGCGCGCACTGGTGGATGTTTTCCGGTGTAATCCACCCCGCCTCATCCTCCTCCTCCTCCTCATTGTTGTTGGTGTTGGTGTTGTTATTGTTATTGAAGCTGGATTCGGGTTGCTGCTCTTCCCCCATTTCTTGCTCCTCCACGCCATTTGCATCCGCATCTTCTTCGTCGTTATCGTCATCGTCGTCAGTCATCACCTCCGTCATGATTGCAGTGCCGTGCTCGCCGCCGGGGTTAATCTTCGCCGGTCGCGGTTCAATGGGCGCCAGCAGCGACTGCGTGGCTCTGCAGCAGTCCAGCGCCAGTGCGCAGAGACGAATATCAGTGCGGCTCATCGCCCCCAAGTCGCCTGTCTTCTCGGCGACCGCCACGACGGCGGCCAGCGCGTCCTTCGACGGCTCCATCACATGCAGGGCGTGGGGGAGTCGCTGCAGCAAATTGCGCGCCGCGCGGTCCCGCACTTCCGCGACTACCTGCGACGTCGTCAGAAGGGCATCGGCCACATCATTGAAGTTGTCCATCCCCTTGATGAAAGCGTTTGCGTCGAGGACGAGGAGACCCTTGGTGTACGCGGGGAGTGCCGCACTCGTACTGCTGTGGATGTTTTCAAAGCGGCTCCAAGGGTTGTTGTCGCCGTCATCATCATCGTTGTTACTCGATCCGACGGGGGCGAAGACGACACGCTTCGGCTCTGTGGATGTTGGCGTGGTGTCCTTTGCCTTCTGCGCAATCGTCGCCCACGACATACTTGAGAGCTGGTGGCTGCGCTGCTATACCTTCACAGTACAAATAGATATGGGGAGAGCTTATGTGTGGGGAGCAAGAGGGGAGGGTCTGTGCCATGCCCCCAACGAGGCTGCATTCACAGGGCAGGAGTGTAGAAATGCATGTACGCCTCACACACACACACAATATCTCTCTCTCTCTCTGTGTGTGTGTGCCTGTGTGTACGTATGTGGGTAAATTATGTGATATGCAGTCTCTCCCAGGCGTTTGTCTCATTGACTCATTCTTTCTTCATGACGGCTGGCCTTACACGTCCGGCAAAACCACCTCCGGGTTCACGCCATCGTCCATGCCGAACTCACGCAGGCTCAGCACCACGCGGTTCGTCTTGAGTCTCCGCTCAAATGTGAACATCAGCGCGAGTTCCTGCGGTGACAGCGGCCGCATCTTCGCTGCGGGAAGCGACGGTGGAAGCGCGAAGGGGCCGGAGCGCACAAGTGTGGTGACGCCACCGGCACGCCGTATCTTTCGTGCGACGCGGTACGGCAGCAGGGGAGTGCGGAGCAGCAGTCGTTCACTGTGCAGGGGCTTCAAATGTGTCGCGGCAACAACATCCCTCCCGCGTTGCTGCTGCTGTTGCTTTTGTGGTTGCATGGGCACAGGCTCCACGCTGCAGCTACAGGGTACCTTCACATCTCCCGAGAGCTGTTTGCGAATGCCGGCGTCGAGAGCATTGTTTACGTCCTTCGCCACTTGATGAACAACCTCAGACGGGACGCCACGGGGGAAGCGTATGTCATACACCCCATAGTTACCAAGGAACTCGTTGTTCCAGTAGCGCACCATCGACACATCATTCGTCGCGAGCCCGAGACCCCTCATCCCGTTCATAAAGCCGATCGGCCGCAGTATGTTCATGCCAAGTCCCGCCGTGCTACCAACCAGTGGGGTGATGCGATGCACGAAACTCCGCGGGTCGGCTTGGTCGGATGTGATGGAGATACCGGGGTGAAGGTAAACAAAGAAGTACTGCCGATGCAGCGCCCGCTTTAGCGCCGGTACCCACATGACGGAGGAGGAAGAGGGTGAGGATGAGGGCGACGATGATGATGATGAGCCATCACTCTTGCTGCTGCTGTCCTTGTCCGTTGAAGGGCCGGATGTTTTGCCGGACGGGGATGCCTCAATACGAATACGGATGTCTAACTTCTGCAGTTCCGCCCAATCCATCTGCGACTCCAGACCCATACGATCAAGCGCGACACCGTTAACCATCAATCCACCGGTCCTCGCCAACTCTCGCGTCTCTTCGAACGGCACACCGCAGCGGTGGAAGAGCCAGTGGTACATGGACGGGGCGTGGGCGACTGTGTTCACCTGGCTGTTCACAAAGCCGCGCCGGTTCCGCAGCAGCATCGCCTCCGTCATCTCCTTGCTGTGCAGGACGCCCAGGCGGAAGACGCGCCCTTTTGTGCTCCGCGGCAGGCGCTGGCGCCGCGTCACGGGGTACTTCTTCACACTCACAATCCGCGTGACGCCCGTGTTGAGCCGCTCCAAGTTGATCATCAGCAGTTAAGGGCGGCAGCAGTAACGGTAGCGATATCCTCCCTTCGGCAGCACACACACATACACACAAACCACCACCAAAAAAAAGGCAAAACAACATGAGAAGGCAGCTGCAAATCAGTCTGGTGACGCAGACCACGCACAGTGGAAAACAAGACCTCCCCTTTTTCCTTCGTGCGCAAGACCACACACACACACACNAAAAAAAGGGGGGGGGGACCAACAACCACAACCAAACTCAGACAACAGCAGTTTACTCGACTCTCTTAGGCTCTTAATCGAACCCCCCCTCTCACCTATTCAATGCTGGTGTTGCAGCGCGTTCAACACATCCGCTTTCTTACGCCCCATTTTCTTGTGCGGCAAGCATGCGCCTAATAGACTCCTGCTTCTCCCGTGACTGCACCGCGTTCACAAATTTCAGCGCGCGCCGCGGCAGCTGTTGCCCGCTGTCCTGGAGACGCCGCTGGGATGTCATGATGAGCCGCTCCGCCACCCGCGTGCGGAAGGCATCGGACATGCTGCTGCTGCTCGCCGCCACGGCGATGGCCGACAGCACATCGGCGCTGCACGGCGTGAAATGCCCCGCCGCCTCGTCCCAAATGTCGTCGAGCGCCTGCTGCACCGCCGCCTCGTCCCCGTGCGGCAGCGCCTT